CCAGGTGGCCCCTCAGCACACACACAGGCGACCCCTTCGACCTTGCCTTCCCCAGCAAGTGTCTGTGCTGCAGCAATTACAAAAATTCCAGAACACTCCGTTACACGTGGGTCTTGCCCAGGGGAATGGGTGGAAAAACAAAACAAAACATGACAGATGTTAGCCATGTCACTTAATGCATGATTGAAGGGCGCTCTGATAGTGCAATGAGATGAGAGAGAAAGAGAAGTAGAGGAGGGAAGGGAGGGGAAGGGAAGGGAAGGGAAGGGAAGGGAAGGGAAGGTAAGGGAAGGGAAGGGAAGGGAAGGGAAGGGAAGGGAGAAGAGAGGAGAGAGGAGACAGGAGACCTTCTCTATGTATATTTGGAAAGACTACTGTCTTAGGTTGGATGAACATCTCCCCTGTGCACCCATGGGCACAAAACCAAACCTTGAGACCCAGGTAGCCCATCACACCGCTTGAATCAAGGCACCTTAACTGAACAGCATTTGAAAAACAACCAAAACCTACTCAGTTATCTACAAACAAGCCACATGTTCCTGTGTAAATCTACAAACCATCTCCTACACAGAAAATCCAGGCCACACCCCAGACCCAAAACAACTGGTGTAACCATGCCAAACAGATGCTATAGGGATTACAAGAGCTGATTGATGTAGGAGGAAGCAAAGTCCCAAAAGAGCTGGTTGCATCCCCATTAGCCAACAAATGCTACATGGAGAAGGCTGCACAAAGTGGGGAGGGGAGACACAGACATATCTACAGTTGGTTTCTCTTCAAAAAGCCGATTTTCCTGGCTTTGCTGTGCATTTTGAAGGCTGTTTTTACCGACCCAGGCTTTCTCTTAGCTGAATGCAGGCTGAATTTCTAACAAGGCACATGCAAACTGGAGCTCCCGGGAGGCTTTGCAGCAGAACCGATTGCAAAAGATTAGTGGTAGGGTTTAAGAGAGCAAGAGAGAAGGGGAAGTAATGAAACAAAATCTCTCTTTCTTTTCCTCGGCTGAGGAATGATGCGGGCTAATTGCTTGTTGCTGGTGAGAAAGAGGAGATAGCAGCTTCTGCGCCCATCAATAAATTAACCCCGGCATAAGGCATCTGAAACGCATTCATTTCCAGAGACGTTTATCTCTTTGTCTCCTATGTTGAGTGAAAACATAATTATTGTTTAAACATGAGTTAATTCAGCAAGGTGAGGATCAATAAAGCAGAGTTACTCCTCTTTTAAAAGCAGAGAAATCTAAATCTGGGGCAGATGTGGACATAACTTTGACAGAGCTGATGGATGGAGAAGATGCTTTGGTCATGGCAGGAACCTGGGGAAGCAGAGCTCCCTCACTCCAGGACTGCTGTTGCCCTTGGGTCTACTAGCAACAGCTAAGTCCGGCCTCGGGCAGTTACAACAATCAATAGAAAGGGCTGAAATCACCCATGCATGTATGTTTTATGGTCTGACACACAGCTGACAGCTCCACCATGTACACACTTCCCATGCAGAAGCTTTGGCAAAGCCCCAGGGCTCATGCTGTGGCCCCTCCCTTTCCTTTGAGGATGCCCAAGCCCTGCTAGGGAGAGGGTCTCTGCACTGCCAGGCTGCTTTCACACAATGGAGTCCCTGGGCAACCAAAGGTGGAAGCAGCATCACTTCAGTGCTCTGCTGAGCTTTCCCCATTGCTGAAATAAATTGGCAGCAGCCGCTGCCTGGAGAGGGAAACACAGGAGGGCAAACTGAGTTACAGAAGATAATGGGGAGGGCACTGGGCTCTCATGTGTGTTATTCAGCCAGTTCTGCCTCCTCTGTCCCCTCCCATTTCTTCTTGCAGCTCCTATCCATCCCTCTGTGCCGACTGGGAGGTGAGTGATGGTGACAGCCCATGACTACCCAGGGCAATGCTGTCTGTGTAGGCAGGCTGCCCCTCATCTGGCAGTCCCATCTGAAGCCAATTCAGTGAAACACTAAAATGTGCTCACCCATGCACGTACATCCAGGGGTACACCCCTGGATCCCTTGCTCAGTGAGTCCGGCAGCAATCCCACCCATGCCAAGCATGCCACTAGAGCCTGACAGAGGCACCCAGTGTGCGGGGCTGAGCAGCACAGGGTGATGGGTTTAGCAGTAATAGGATTAGCTGCAAGCACACCATGCGAAATGCATGGTGGCAGCAGCACTGGCAGTTGCAGCAGCTTCCACAATCAACCTGATTGCCCCAAAACACCACAACCAAAGCTCTTATGGTAGGGGTGGGCCAGGACCAATCCCTGTCTGTCGGCTTCAGCTTTTGTGGGGGTAAATACACAACCTGAAAGATCAGGGAATTTTGTGCTGGGAGTGGCATCCCCTGTCTGCAGCCAAGCATTTTGCCCTATCCACATGGCCCACAGTCTGGGTGCATTGAGAGCCATACCATGAGAGAGCCCCTCATGAACACCTCCTTTTGGTGCAGCTTTAGCAACCTGCCACAGATGTGAAGCAAAAGGAAGCTCTGCAACCAGAAGAGAAGGTACCCAAATATACTGGTACCCAAATCTACTGACCCCTGAGCCTCTCCATCCCACCTCCCAAACACTGAGGAGCATTTTGGACTCCTGCATCCCGGACAAATGCTCCCTTTGCTCTGCCAGCTCCAAGCAGAAGGACTAAAGACAAGCAGCAGAGGGGTTAGCCCATGAGCAACCTCGCCTCCATGGAGCCCCAAGCTGCTGAGGTTATTAATTCATGTGGCACTTTGCAGGATGCTCCAGTAATCACCAGGGTGCATGTGAGAGCCAGGAGCTGGTGGCAGAGCTCGATGTGCAGTGCTCATGCTCACTTAACAGCTTGTCACATCCTCCTCACTCAAGTATTCAGTGCTAATGCATCTCTTAAAGTGCTTCATGAGCTATTAAAGTCGAGCGTGCCTCAAGTGCATGATAAATGGACTCCATACCAGCACCTTCCCCCCGCTCCGCCCAGTCCCTGCCACCAGTAGGATTAATCCGTTCGCCCACCCCATTCCTGCTGCCCTTTCCCCGCCTGAGAGCCCACCTAGCAGGGGATGATCCCTAAAGTTTGCTGGCGAGGGAAGGCTGCAGTGGGGCAGGGCATGAGCTCTGGGCTGGGGGGATGGAGAGCACCCCTCGGGTCTCCAGTGTGGGGTAGATGCTCTGCAGCTTCACCTGCATGTATGCATCCTCTATGCAGCAGGCATGACGGGGTGGGCAGGATACTGCTGCCCAGAGCATCACCTTGGTGTTGCAGAGAGGTGACACACAGTGCCTCTGGAGAGCAGATTAAAGACAGTCCTGGAAGCGCCCTATTAGCTTTCCTCCAGCTCTCATACCCAGTTTTCCCCCACCTCACATTTTCACGTCCCTCAGGGCAGAGCAGCTCCTCTGTCTCCTGAAGATGGGGAGAGCCCTGCCCCTTTCTGCATCCCATTCAGGCACTTGTTGATGTGCACAGGTCTCAGCAGCACCAGTTTTAAGCTGGTGCCCCAGGCATCTCCCCCCTGCATGCAGCCAGGTGAAAGAGAAGGGACACAGGGACAGGCAGGCTATGCTGCCAAGTCTCTGAATCCTGCTGGATCATGGAGCAGTCATTTCAGCCTGCCTGGCCAGGGGCTCTCTGCACCATCACGTTGCTGCCAGCAGCAAAAGGCATGTCCCTGGCCAACACTGGTGGGGAGCAGCATTTGTTTCTCTGTCTAGGCAACACATTTCGAGTGTGCATAACCTTGAAGTACCTGGCACGCCTGCTTTGTGCATCTTGCTGTGCAAATTGTCTGGGATACCATCCCCACAGCATGGAGGGAAGCAGCATGATGCATCCAAAGGATGCTCTGGAAGCCTCGACACTGAGTCCTTCAAGGCTTCCCAGGCAGCCTTGCAAGTGCAGCAGGATGAAGCAGCACTGCTTCTCTGCAGAAAGCATCACAGCATCACAAGTAACACATAGCTCAGCACCCAGGTACTTTGAGGAAGTGCTGTGGAAGATGCTGGGAGCGCTCCTGAAACACCACCCAGAAGATCCCCCTGTGTCCAGAGAGTGCTGTCCCATGTGATGGGGATATGCTGCCAAATCCTTGCTCTTATGTGTCCAAGCTGGCAGCTTCCAGCAATATAAATCCACCCACCTGGATTTAGGGCATCTAAATGGGGTACTCTGACTGGGTTCCTTGGTCCCACAGAGCCCACGGGTGCACAGATGTCCTTACTGGACTGAATTAGCAAAATTCCCCTCTATAATCCACTGAAAGCAACTACAGACAGGCTGACTGAAGGGAAAGCCAGGGTATTTTGGAAGTCCCCCATTTTGTCCCATTGTTTGCAAGGCTTCCATAGGTGACCCCACAGTAGCTCCCAACCATCCCCTCCTGCTCCTGCCTACACCCAGGGTCATGCAGGGTCTTCCAGCTCCCTATGCCACCAGTATCTCTAACATGTAGTCACTCTAAAGCCATCACCAAGTTAAACTCTTAATCCTGTGCCAACCTGGAGAGAGGCGAGCTAGTGGTGGGTGCAGATGTGTGATGGCTATGGGGACAAAGTCATCCCAAGGGGGTGATAGCAGAATGAGGCATTCATCACAGTCGAGGGGTAGGGTGTCAGGGCTCAGGGCTTGGGGTTGTCAGGCTGCTGCTCTTCCCACCCATTCATCCCTTCATGGGTGGGTTCTACAGGGCAGCATGTGGAAAAGGTGGAGGGTGACGGGATGGGGAGTGACGCCCTGGCTGTAGGAGCATCCTGGGATACACAGGAGTGAGGGATGCTCTGGGGATGCAGGATGCCCAAACCTCACAGCAGGAGGATGGGGATGGGATGCATATGTCACAGAGAGGAGGAAAGTGACAGAGGCATAATACATATGTGATATCCGATATGTGATAGAGGAGAAAAGTGATCCAGAAATGTAACATCAGGCAAGCCTGGAAAGTACATCCAGCTTTCTCCAGCAGAGAGGGTGGAGGAGCGGCATTCCCATTTTTGGGACCCCAAAGGTTCTAGCGGTGTGAAGAGACTCACCCTGCTGGCTGTGCCTCTGGGCATACACCACCACCACCACGGCGAGCACCACGCAGAAGGCTGACGGGACAGGGTTAGCCATCTGTGGAAGCAAACACAGACAGGAGCAGTCAGGGTTTGCCCTCATGAGACCTCGCATGTACTGTGCCAAGAGCCTGTCCCTCCAGATGAAAGGTGTGATGGGACTGCAAGGAGATGGCCATGAAGCGAGACTTCATCTCAGCCACAGGGGAACTCGCTGCAAAAAAGAGGCACTTTGTTGACACAGGCTTCATCATTCAGTCGCCTGTGGCTCTTTTCTGGGAGCTGCCGGGTCCATCAGGTGCCTGGAGGTGACAATACAGCCTGTGCAAGTGCTGTATTTTTCCTCATCTCATTTTCAGTATTTCACTTAATAAACTCATACCCTGGTGCTGGGGTCTCCTTGGCAGCTGCAGCTTCACCCTAGGAGCAGACACTGTCTGTAAGTGGGTTGCAGAGGGTTTTGGAAGAGATGGGAGCATAACCGGGCACTTCACAACAGCGACTTGGATGTGCGAGGTGCAAATCACAGCAGGGGAAGCTGCTGCTGCTGCTGCTCCAGTGTGGCCCCTTCCAGCACTAAGCACTGTGCTGTTTGCCAGCACTACACAATAGCAGCAGCCTTTATGGGCATGCCAGGGACAGTGTCACCGTCCTTGGTGTCTTCACAGTGACCAGTGGGGACAAACAGGGAACATTCTCTCTGCACCAAGCCTCCTGGAATGGACAAATGGCAGCAACAACCTCAGGGATGCCCTGTGCAGCCCTGCCAGGCTCCCTCCCTGGCCCTTCAAACAGGGCTGGTAGAAAAGACCAGAGCTGCTGGCAATGGCAGTGGTGATGCTGGCCCACCCACCAGGAGGTAAATAGCACCATGCATGAAAAGCAAATTACACCTTCAAAACTGTTTTAAACCTCTCTAATCTCCAGCACCGTATCAGTAATGTGTGGAGGATTGCATTTTAATCTAGAACATGAGTATGGGCTCGTTAGCCAGATGGCATCCATTTAAACCTAAATAAAGGGGGAGCTGTACTGGCCAACAAAACATATTCCATTACCCAACACAGCTGTTGCAGGAGCCCAGATGGCCTCAGGTTTGCAGGAGGGCAGCAGCAGGTAAGAGGGATATCATGAGCAGGTTTTGGGGTGCAGATGGTGAACCAGCCTGGCCTGAATGCCTCTCAGAGGCAGGGATGCTGGGGAAGATGGTGGGTCTGAAGATGAGGAGAAGGGCAGAGAAGGGACCCACTGCCTCACTGCTGCATTTGCAGTGTGGGTTCGGGCTTGGGAGCCAGCAGCAAGAGCCATTCCCAATGCACTGCAGCTGCACAGCACAGACACACCAGCCCCAGCCTCCACTTCCAGCCCAGCCCCAGGCCTCCCAGGTCACCTTGATCTAATCACACTCGCAGCCTCCCCCGTGCCTCAGTTTCCCTGCCTGTAAAACAGAGATAATGAAGGTGACCTTCCTTTGAAAGCTCTGGGCGCAGAGCGCTAAGTGCTAATTACAACACAGTTATCATTCACTCTGCCTCTTCTCTCCTGCTCCTCTTTTTTCCTCCTGTGTCTGTTCTCCGATCTGCCTCCTCCGTGTGTTCCCAGCATGTCCCTGCTACCACCCTGCCTCTACACCAGCTGCCATCACAAGTGGCAGCTTGGAGAGACGAGGATGGCCAGGATGCAATGCCACATCCCTGGACAGTGCTGGCGTGGGGGTCCTCAGTCAGCTTGGGAGCCTCCTGCAAAACAGAAGCTGACTCTCCATACCAATCGCAAGTTCACTTCCCACTGATATTCCCTACCTAAAGCCCTGGAAGCTGGTGTATGGCACCAGGAATTGAAGCAGGCATGGAACTGCACCAGGGATGGAAGTCCTGCCACTGCACCACAGCCAAGGTAGCCCCAGGTAGTGCAGCCATCCCACCTCTGGGGACAGTGGCAGTGATGGGAGGCAGGACAGGAGCCACTCAGGCCCCTGGCTGTCAGCTTGCACTCTGAAAAGCATGAGCTCTGCTCACCATAGCCTTTGGTTTGGCTCACACGAGTGCAAATATCACCAGCCACCATTCTCTGCATCTCTGTCCTGCCAGGAAGCAAAGCCACCCGCCTTCCCCTGCTGCTCCTCCTCTTATCGGTTGTCAAAGTAATTGCTGCTGCTCCTGCCCTGTGCTTGGCAGCCTCACCCAAGGCTGGACCAGCACAGAGTTGGGCACCACAGTTATGTGGCAAAGGATAGTTCATGTCCCAAAATACCAGCAGTCTGAGAGTGATGCTCTTTGGTCCCTAAGGACTCAGTGTCATGGCCAGGACACAGGCAGAGGCTCTCAGTGCTGGCACAGAGACCTCACTGCTCATCTGCTTTCACACTGCAAAACCTCATTTCTTCTCAGAAATGAGACTGGCCACCAGGCAGGGGATGGATCTGTTTTCACACCAAAAATCCAGCTAGAAAACCAACCTTTTCTCACTTGATTTGCAGTTTCCCGTGCAGTATTTGCTTAGTTTGGCTGTTTTGCCTAAAGCCACTTTGATTTTTTTTTTTTCCCAAGCACAAACCAAAACCTTCTCAATTTGTGCAGATGCTTCTAATGCAAATTCCATTTGCTGTGTTTGCTCATTTAACGGTTTCTCTAGCAAAAGCCAGCACCCTGGCACGTGGGTGCAACAAGCCAGCAAGTAGCAGCTCACCAGGCGTGTGGCTCCCCTGGGCTGTGTTCCCACTGCGGCTGGGACCAGTTGAGAGGTGATGGTCGGGAACCACAGTTATTACACAGCAATCCCAGCAGTGGGAAACTCAATCTTCTGTGGAAAAGGAGGTTGGAGAGTATCTGCGTTTGCCCATGTAGTGAATAATTTCTTGGTGGTGGAAAGGAAAGAGGAACCTGGGCAGGAGTGGAAGGAGGTGAAGGGGCACAGGAGATGTGGTGGTCCAGTAGCTTTGGAGCCCAGGTTCTTGTTTTAGGAGAGAACAACTAGTTGATCCTTCCCTGCCTTCCTCTGCACCAAGGGTAATGATGATACCAGTCATGGTCAGCTAGAATCATAGAATCGTAGAATGGTTTGGGTTGGAAAGGACCTAGTTCCAACCCCCTGCCATGGGCAGGGACGCCTCAACCTAGACCATGCTGCCCAAGGCTCTGTCCAACCTGGCCTTGAACACTGCCAGGGATGGAGCATTTACCACTTCTTTGGGCAACCCATTCCTGTGCCTCACCACCCTCACAGTAAAGAACTTCCTTATAGCTAACCTGAACTTTCCCTATTAGAAAACAAATCAATGATGTAGACTTGAACATGGTACCCTCCAGCAGCTCTTGGTCTAAGCCAAATGTGTCTTCAGTTGTGCTTTCCCTGAGCCAAATCAGGCTACTTGGAAGAGAGCTGTGCTTGGACCTACAAGGCAAGTCCAGAAGCTGCTCCTGCAAGCAGGACTGGAAGGGCACGGTGATGTGACATTAACTACTGTGGTGTGATGGGGTGAGGTAAGAAAGAATAAAGAGTATCATGTATCCAGGCAAAAAGCTATCATCTGCTGGACAGTCCCAGTGTCCTTTTCTGAGGACAGAGGGATGAGTCCTTTCCAGCTCTCTCTTAGAAGGATCCTCAAAGCCTTGGGAATGCTCACTGGCAATGGGGTACCAACTGGCAGCTGGAGAAGGCAGATCCAAGGAAGGGCTGTTCCTGGCTGGTGAGAGAAAAGGGCTATACCCCAGCCTTCCCCCGCAACTCCCTTCTGCAACAGCCCCCTCCTAGCAATGGTAATAAATAAGACCTCATACTGGAAGTGGGTGGCTTCCATAAAAAACAAGTTGGTTTCAAAACCCAGCGTTCCCTGACAAAAGTCTTCTTGTCAGGCAATTCCCCACCAGGTGCTGTGAAAGCACCTGGCTCTAAAGCCGTGACCTGGGATAGAAAAAGACCCCATTAAGTCATTTTCTTCCCACAGCCACTTGCAACCCTGAGTTCCACAGGAGTTCTGCAGCACCTGTACTGCACTCACTGTAGACACTATCGTACAAACTCTACTGCAGACACCAGCTGTAGATGCCATGATATGCCTGTACTGCAGATACTGACTGAAAATGCTCTGGTATGCCTGTACTGCAGACGTCAACTATAGATGACATGGTACACTTGTCCCTCCACTGACTGACTGCAGACATTACCCTACACCTGCACTGCACATACCTATTGTTGACCTTATGGTACACCTGTATTGCAGATGCTGACTGTAGGTAGTACTGTACACCTGTACCACAGATCGTGACTGTAGCACACCTGCCCTACAGCAGAGGAGACAATCTGCCTGTCCCCAAGGTGTGATGCTACGCCTGCAGTGCAAACACTGACTGTAGCTACTACAGTGCATCTGAGCTGGGAAACAGTCTTGGCAGACACTTCCTGAGCCCCAGCCCTGCAGAAATACCCTTACCAAAGCTCCCTCAATTGCTCAGCCCAGACCTTTGCTTGCAGAGATCATGCCACAGCTTCCTCCAGCCCCCAGGATGCCTCCAAATCCTTACTGGAGGGAAGTGTGTGCTGTTGGAATGAGCAGTGAAGCACTGCAGTGGGCAGGACACCCTCCAGCCCTGGTTCCTGCAGGGATTGCATCACTTGTGGACAGCAATGTGGGAAGGGGAGCACCCTGGAAGCAGGATTTGGGTGCCCAAAAGCACCGGGTGCCACCTCCTCCCTTCAGAACACCCCTGGCAGAAAAGCAAAGAGAGGGGATAAAAGTGGTCCTAAAAACTCCTGGCACTGTAATATCCTGTCAGCACTAAACTCTGCTTTGCTGCTTAAGAGGAGAGAAAAGAGAGGCTTTGTCATCTCCTTAATACATACTATCAGAAAGCCTTACCTGCAGAGTCAGAGCCCCTGCTGTTTGAAAAGCCTTCTTAAATCTAATTTAACCCCCACTGTCAGCAGGGTGATTAGCACTGAGCCCCTGGACCACGAGCACCATGGAGATGACCAGGGCCAGATGAAATGAACTCTCTTATGGCTCTCACAAACTGCAACTTTCCTCCCTCTGTTTCCTCTCCATCTACTAACAAAGTG